AGCAAGTCATCCAGATCACCAATGTAGACCCGGCAGCTGTCAAGCTCGTCCATGAATATGCGCAAGAGCTCCAGAACAGACGAATGCAAATGTTCTGGAACTTCATCCAACAGTTGAAACTGGGTGATGAGGAACCATCTTCCAACGAAACAGCACCCAGCGAAACAGCATCCAACGAGCCAGCTTCCAATGAGGCAGCCTCCAACGACGTGAACCACCAGGTTTCTACTGACTAGAAATATTTTTATCCTACTCGCTAATAAAGAATAAGCCGGCGAATGGTCTCGTTTCTTTTCTCAGCTAGCTGATTTATCTTATCAAATACACCCTTCCCAGTGATAGCACCTGCCTCGGGTTTCTGGACTGTGACCCATCCTACAGTTCCTCCCTCCCGACACGGCAGTGACCCGTTGCATTCTGAACTCGGTTCATCTTTATGAAACTCGGTTCCCTATGAAACTCGGTTCCCTATGAAACTCGGTTCCCTCCTTTCCCCCACCCGGAGGTGATTCAAGAATGAGATACGTTTGTTTGATGGGTAGAAATTAATTGACTTTCTTCTTAGTGAGTTTTGGGGTGATTGGAGAGGTTTTGGTTTTGGTATGTTTGTTGTAGAGCCAGGCTGAGCACGCGACGAAGGTCCAAATGAGTGAAGTGAGAATAAGTCGTCTTAAGGCGAGCACTCTTTTATTCATTTTGGAGACGATATCGATGGCATCGCTATAGTAGCCAAGAGCATTAATCAAAGCAGTAATTTCATTTCGTTCTAAACTTAATATTCGTTGATAACTAGGGTCACCAAGTGTCTTGGTGGCGACCTGTAATGCTGTTAATTTAACTTTACCATGGAGACGGCATTTCTCACAATCGATACAATCAAATATTCTAGAAATATTACTCATCTGTTGTAACGCAACTTCCTGCTTTCTCTCGAAAATTGGCATAGAGGAGAAACGAGGCTTCCCACTCGCAGTAGAAGCCAGTGTATAATCCACAAGCTGCTGTAACAATTGCTGTGTCTCCGCGTCTTCCGCGTCAGTATCGGTATAACAGCCACAATTGTTTATAATGGGATGCAAACGGGCAAGTGTCCGCAGGAGAATAGAAAAGTCCAAATACAAGTTATCTACCCACACGGGATTGATATTAACCCTCCACCTGTAGAGATCCAACGAGTACCGGTATCGACTGGGAATCTGCGTCTGATCCTGCGTCTGATCCTGCGTCTGATCTTGCCTCTGATCTTGCCTCTGATCTTGCCTCTGATCTTGCCTCTGATCTTGCCTCTGATCTTGCCTCTGATCTTGCCTCTGATCATAGTGGCTGGGTACAGTAAGAAGGGGATTTTGTGGGAACTTATACGGTCGGTTGTACTCGCTGGCCAGAACCATAATGACGGTTTGTAGTCCAGAAATCATTCGTTCGTATACGTCTTCTTCGCTGCAATCGGGTGCGTAAGTAGGGTCATCCAATCTAAACATTTCGTCTTTGGACCGAATACAATTGTCCTTGTAAATAAGCGACCAAATGTTACGTCCTTTGTAGTCGGTGAATCCGGGAGGATTGCTCGCTAGATCGACATAGGACGATCGCTTTGATGACACACCAGCCAGCTCATCCAAAAACTGGTTCTCAAATAAACCAACATCACCTGTTAACCCACTTCGAGGATCCGACCAAGGTGTTACATCCGACTCCACCGCAACAAAGTGCTCAACTGGCTTCTCCATCCATCGTTTCGGTATCTGGTCTTCCCCGCATTCACAAACAGCACATGAACCCTCGGGCGAACTGCATAAATTCTCACGAGCCCAAAAGGGACATTCTTGCTGTAAATCAACTTTGAACACGCGGAAAAAGACACGTTTCTTCAGTGCATCCAAATATCCCGATACCCCACGAGCCTCCCCACGGATCTCCTCACCCGTAGGAGCCAAAGGATGGAATTCCCCCTTCGGCTCATACGGACTCCATAAACCCATCCAACTTGGTGTCTTCTTCGCAAATGACGCCAACGCCTTCTCCACACTACGCAATAACAACAACGAAGCAGGCAACCTCACATCTTCAGCTACTGGTACAAATTCAAACAACCATACCAACGCGGTTATTACAACTGCAACATGAACCAGCTTATTCTTCAACAGCCGATGCATTCCAAAAAAATTTTTACACACCCAACCAAGTCAGAACACGAATCAAGTCAGAACACGAATCAAGTCAGAACACCAACCAAGCCAAGGCGCGAGCCAACCAAGG